GTTAAAGAAACATTAGGAACCTGGGAACACTGGACAGCTATTTCGTCCTAATATGGCACTCCTCATCAAAGAGCACCCAATCAAGGGATGAACCTAGGGCCTTCACGTTCCGCGACCGGACGATACCATTGAGTCATTGGGTAGGAATCAAGTGGTTCACATTTCCTACCTCCATCAGATCGCGTACAGCGCAACCTGCATCTAATGCCATCGTTGAGTAACTGTCCTCATGTTTGACTTGGCTGGCCCCACTGGTCACTACTTCTCACTGGAACTTCAGGAATCACCTCTCGAATATAGTCACCAATGGGCACTAGATTAATTCAATTTGGAGGTTTGTTGGGATTATTGGTATTCATCCTGGAAATATGGTTCACTGAACTGCGACCCAGTGGCTTAATGGCAACGGAACTTGAAGTTCCTGGGTTCTATCCCCAGTGGGGTCGTGGCTTCCCACTGCTAAGGAGTCCCATACTAGGACGAAACAGCTGTCTTGTGCTCCCAGGTTTCTGATGTTCCTCCAACCGATGCCAGTCCATAGTGAATACCAACCTGAAAGTGACAATAGTTCATGAACCCACGCTTATTGCTTGTTGGTCAATAATAATGAGAGATATCTCTGATCTGGTAAAAACTGCAGAGAATATAACCCTTACCGTTCACTGCTAAGGTAGAAAATCCATGATTTTCGTTTTTAGATAACATTAAACTGACTACTGTTCAATAACGGATCCAAGTAACACTAAATATAACAATTGATTCTGTATGGTAAGCATAATGACCTTAGCTGTTATTTGATTTCATAAAACAAGATTAAATATCTGCACTTCCGGATCCCTTCAGTTAGATTGAATTATGTAAAACAGAACCGTATCGCTGAATGAAGTGAATTTACCCAATATTGAGAGCGGCATGAAGCTAGGTTTTCGACTGGCTGGTTTGTGGAGGATATATTAATTTCAAGGTGGTTTCATCCCGGATCGACGACAGACACCAAAAACCTTAGACGTCTGTTTCATTCTAGTTTTGAAACTCTCAACAGTGCACACCCATGACTTTGTTTTGTATCAAATCTACCAACATATAGTTTCACAACAAACAAGTAACCAAATAAGTTACTGGATTGAAATTTAGTAGTCTAGATTTGTGACAGTGTGCTGCTAAATAGTAACACATCCACCACAAGACCTTATGGTACCAAGCTCAATTCTGTCTGAGGTTGTGGGTTCACATTATCATGAATTCACAAACTAGGACGATATAGCTTTCTAATGCTGTTCATGCCTCCACTAATCCTTTAATTGATGCTAATCCATGAAGAAATTTCCCTCGACTTGAGTTTTCTCTCTGATGTTCAATTCATGGAAAATACCATTGTTTATTTTCTTGAAATGGTAGGGAATGTAAAGCCAGGAGACAACGAAGTGACCAGTCTTCAAAATTCTAGGAAACAAATACAGTTTTTGATTATGTATCTGAACTTCTCTAATTTACTATTTTCCAGTGGACGATGGGTCTGAAGATAACTCACCAACAAGTGAAATCAGCTGCAGAATCGACACAAACCAGTAGACATAGGACTGTTTCAATCGTGGTGTAAGTTACTCAACAGTAAGCACTCAAAACTTCACATAGAGTAAAGAACAAGACCACCAGGTATCACGGTGCGCATACAACCGTTTAGTCACCGAACTTATGACATAAGATAATGGTTATACCACATCGGAAATTTAGATCGGAAAAGGCGGATGGTTGGATTTCTCCACTCTATCATTTTATCTCTGCAATATCAAAATCATGAAAATACCTTATGACTAGACTGTAAATATTTGGCCTGTTTAGCTGATCTCAATATGAATTCTGTTCGTGCCAATATTGGGGTTCATGTCTTGACAACCAGAACAGTTGAACCAGCTTGGAAAACATTTCTGCAAAAGATGGATGGTGCAACAAACCATATGATTTTTAACCTTACTAAATACAGGTCTCAGTGAAATGGTGGTGAACATTAATCAGCTGTTTCAATAAGAGAGACTTATTTCAATGATCAAATTCTCATTTCACTTTCAGTCATCATTCAGTATCAATAATAAAAGTCTTCCAAACCACAGTTATCTCAGATAGTCAAACTGGTAATAAATAATTCAGTCAGTACGCGTGGCTCTATTTCTGATAGAGAAGTTTATACTGTTTTAGCTGATAATAATGTGACGCTATCTAGATTCTACATCCAGCTTCATAAAACAGGTGGTGAACTACACCTATTCACTAAAGGCTAGAGAATTATCTGATTGGGTAAATCTCATTACGTAAAGTGATAGCCGAACCCGAATGCCACTGGTTTAACACTGAGTATCTGTTATAACAAGCAGCAGATTTACACCTTCCTATCTGCTGTTAAAAAACAGGTTTCATACGTTGCAATATCTCACCGACAAATACAACAAGAAGCTCAAATTAAACTCAGGTTATTTCGACATTTTCATTAACATTGACCCGCACAAAAGGTCATTACAGTCCAAACCTAAGCGAAGAGCAGGATGGAGTTATTCGAGAAAATGAACAACTTAAGAGTCCTGAAAAACATCCCTTTCAAATTATTCCTCCTCATTGAATATATTGCAAATAAATCAATAAGAACTCATAAATAAGTAACTACAGTGTATTCACTAACTAATTCTACAGGAGTGTCACATAGTTAAGTATACTTACTGTGTGAAGCCCAAATATATAAAAAAAACTGTTTAGGTTAGAGTAGAGAGAGTGGGTTCGAATACTCAACGCACTGTTTGAAATTCGAATAAATATGCAATAACGCAAAGTCACTTTCAGGGACAGACAGTTATTGTGAGTTATTGTTTTCGACTATTTTGACAATTTCGCTAAACAGACAAACTCATGAATTACAAAATCCACAAATATAATTCTGAGAGCCATTTCTAGGATTCCAGGTGAAATAAGGAGGTAAATGTAGCTACCCACACGAAAAGAAACAATTTTTTTAAAGATTAGGATGAAGCATACTTACTAATCACAAGTAGATGAAGATTTACCAATGAATAAAGTCCTGTATGCTGTTAACTTCTTCTAGAAGATGTCACACTCCTCAAGTCACACTATTCTTAAAGGTGGTTTCAACATATTTAGAAAGCGTAACTTTTGAAGATATCAATGTTGCATACACAGTTATATAACTACACACTGCAGTTTTCAGTTTCAAAAGTCGTTCGCCTTCGTTATTCAAACTCGAAAGTCAAGCAACGCAAATTTCTACAGGTGTTTATGAACTAGGCTGAGCTTCACATTGTGTGAAGGCCTATGATACTACCCGACCATTTAGGCTAAATTAGGTGCAGTGGGGTTAGCACCTGTTACTTAGATATCAAATGTTTAAGCCAATGAGCTACTTTTCAGCCTGTTCATATTCGCTTGCATAGAGAACAACATATTATACTTATTGTTTCACTGGTAATTTAGTAACATTAAAGAAAAAGTTCCCAATATTTTGTGTCAAAGTGTGTATAAAATACAACTACAACACTAGGAAGCTCCAAGCTTTTGTCCACAAGAATAGTGATTGAGTTACACTGAGACTACCATGACCTATCGACTGAAGAATGAAACCAGCCTCATAAAGGTTAGAGTAAGATAAGGGGCAACTTCGTGGAGAACTGTGTATTGGTTGAACTCGGTCGACAAAACGATTGCATTCGATGGCTAGAAAGTTTGCACTGAAACCAACTATTGTAACAGACATTCTGAGACTACCAGTAGAAGGGAATAACGCTCAACAATGGAAAAGTAGGATTTTAGGTAAACCTACCCAAAATATGGATGAGTACGTAGTATACTAAACAAAAAAGAACACAAGCAAACCCCTATATAGGTGTGGATAAGAAACCTAACATTTTGATGATTTAAAATTCTTGATTAAATAAGAACAAATATACATCATACATAAATATGCATCAACAGGAAATGCTGGAGTGAATTTTGAATGCTAACATAGAATAGATACCATCCTTAGGTATAGGAAACGCTACTGGTAGTTTCTGAATTACCATACATTTCGCACGTCCACTTCTCAAGTCATTATTGCACGGTTAGTATACGATAACCTTTAGTTAATTCAAGCAGAAAGTGAGGAGTTAGATGGTGAGAACGGTTATATTTATCACCAAGCAACTATTCTTTAGGGAGGATAGTTAGCTTTATGCCTATATTAGGACTCTATACAGCAATCTCCGTCTGTAGTATAGCAGAGATTTGTGAAGAACCACCAACCTTTTCTGAACCTATTCCTAAACTTGCAGTGAGTAATGAGAACAGCACACCAACAAACCAGTTGACTACCAAAGCTATTTATTATGCACTTTCACTTAAATAAACGCTCACACAAGGTTCGAAATGCATCAGTTCCTGTAAATCAATCGAAGCCAGTCACCCAAGCAGACTAAGACTTACCAGTTTTTAGATAACTATCAAACTACTCGCATAGGTCACAAACAGTCACCATTGACTTGGGTAGGAACTAATTAGCTAGAAAGTATGATGATCACGGGGGAACATAATCCGACAGTATGTACGCCGTTACTAATCACACGCAGACTTCCGAAATACAGCACTTTGAAAGAAATGAAGAATTCAGAGACCATCGTATTTAAATGTTTATCGTCATCTACCCGGTTAAAAAATGAACCCCATCGCTTAGAGTTGAAAAACCAACCAAAGATGAATATCGAAACCGAACAGGTGCTTGCAACCCAGAGACAGTAAAATAAGCAGTCGAGTTCTGATTACCACATAGCCTTTCAGCGCAATACTAACTATAAATTACACTTAGACGTTCAAAGTAAAGCTGATCGGCTGGCGCACACACGGACTGACTTCAAGAACGAATTACACCCATTGGTGCAAGTGACAGGAGTAGAAAGATTTGCCAGGTAGCCTCCTCACGTCTACGCAGAAACAATGATGTACATCAGAAGATCTCGAGAAGTAAACTCACAACAATGTATATTAACGAAGCAGTATAATGAATGTACAGGTTTAAGAGGAGGGGTCCTAGTAAAAAAAAAAAGAAAATAAATTGTTCTCACTGCCCGTACGAAATTTTACAGTTCATCATGATCACCGGGCGCCTCTTCATCCGATTTATCAGTGTCTTCAGGTTTGAAGTCGAATCCTTCTTTGGTATCTTCAACCTTTTCGGTGGCAGCAGTGTCTTTGTCTGAATCTTTATCAGCTGACTGGTCTTTAGCCATTTCAGCATCATACCGTTTTCTCCAGTGTTGATCGCCCTGTTGTTTGGCGAACTCGGCACTGTCAGTAATCAAAATATTGTCAAAAATAGACCCTGAATCAACTTGCCAAAGGTCAAAACCAACGTAACCAATGTCGTCCTGTATATATAACTCAGGGTCGGGTTTGTAATCTGGATTATCTATTTGGGCGGGTTTCCACTCTCCTTTGTACTTGGGATTCAGTATACGTCTCGGGCTCCACTCCCCTTTATAATCAGGATTATCCTTTTGAGGACGTTCCCATTCACCATCCATCGCGTCGTCCCAATCATCAGGTTTTTTGGCATCCATATCAGGTATCATTTTTGGTTGGTCCCAATCTTCTGGTTTTTTATCGTCTGGGTCATCGATATACTCATCATCCACCCAATCTGAAGGTTTTTTATCATTAGGGTCCTAAAATGTGAGTATACTATGGAAGTCGAACTTACATCAATCTTCTTCGGAAGAAGCATATCCCAGTCATCTTCCAATGAGCCTTGCTCAACACTGTCATTGTCGATCAAAACCTCGTATGTATTGTTGGGATTAACAATCAATGTGTACAGATGTGTCTTCAAGTCATCTCTGCAGGAAATCTCTTTCTTGATGAGATAATTCTGGCCTTTGTAATTGAAGATGACATGTACTTTCTTTGTAGCCATACCACATATATCAGGACCTTCAACAAAATTAGAGGTTAACACATCTTACCGAACATTATTTTGTAAGGAGTTTCCCCGTGAAATGATTTTGGATCAATGTCAGACCCCAGGAGCTTTATGTAAGCTCCTCCACAGCTGACTGTTTTGTCGAATTTGACAGTAAACTGAACGACGAGAGTCTTATCACGGTTACTAAAAGGCTTTTCTAGCTTCCGTGCTATGCCGTAGAACTTAGCATCTTGTGTAGTTTTAAGCCTAAGCTTTCGATCGGATCAATCGGAGATTTTCCAGCTTCTATCTTAAATTCTCCTTGTTTGTCGCCATTGTGGGTCGACGCGACCCAGCTTTCAATAGATTTTTCTGAATTAAATAAAATCATAAGGAAATAGTACAGTACCATTAGGAAACGTTTCGGAAAACCAAATCTCATGACCGCAGACATAACTCAACAGCAAAGTATGTAACACCAGTAAGATCATGCCTGGGCCCAGAAACCACTAACTGAGATCAAAAAGGGTCGCGACCAATATATGCAGAAATGACGACCAATCACAGAGCTCCACAAAAATGTTACCTAACATTACTGCGAAATTTAAACAAAATACCCTAAAATTGACTGCTTTCGATGCAAATTTTATTCCCATGATTTTGTAAAACTTACAGTGTACATATGTTGAAATTCGTCAATACGTCTTTTTTATTCTTGTTCACAACTAGACGAAAGGTTCTTGAATTAAGCATGATCATCTCATCATTTTGAAGGCACACGCATATTAATTATTCTGCCAGATTACGTCAGGTAGTGAGATTTTAAATAACAGTTAACTAACATGACAGAGTTCCATTGTTGTAGGTTTCTAAATTCTGTGCAAACATCGAAATGCTATGTTGGAATATGTGCACACCGTTAAGGTAAAGTTAAAATACGACCAAGGCAACTAATTTTCAAAAGACTGCTGACTTATTGACAGTTATAGTTATCAAAAGATGGCAAACTTATCTACACAAGTAGGGTTATTCTGTGCACCATTGTGCACCAAATCCTAAACATCACTTCACAGTTCGGATCGAAATACTGGTTTCAGCAAATAGGGTCGTGAGTCTGTTGACCCTCTTGGAACGAAACTTCCTTCTCACCCATTCTACTGTAAGACAGGTTGTTTGATCATATGGACACATCCTTACGTGGGAGGATCCTCAAGAGTGAATACTACATGCGAAAACTTGCACCGTAGGGTGACGATGTTTCCCTGTGAGATTCGCACTCTTCTCTGATATTTTCGGATTAGGATTAGGAGATAAATATTCAGTGTGCATATTCGCGCCACAAGGTCCCGGGGGACATGCTTAAGTCTCATTTCTACGCAAGATACGGAATAAGGAAGAGGCACAACTTCTGTAGTCGGTCCCTTAGTGTCAAGTTAACCAACGTAAGCCTTATACTCAGACCCTGCTACAGGTTTCAGTCATGTGTTATGCTAGGTTTTGTCATTCGCCCAGGCTCGGTGCTGCTACCAACAAACACCAATTTATGGCTTACAAACGATGATCTACCGTAGTTCAAGGCTCTCACGTTGGTAATAGGCGGTGGGAAAACTCACTGACATGGATAGGCCTGTTCGGGACCAGTGGTGTACTCGTTCGGGGCTGTACTGTGCTGATTATCCACCTTGATAATATGAAGGTTAACAACAATACTCTGACAATTACCTTCTGATTAGACCAACCCAAAACTTTTACGACTGAGGGATAAAAGACATTATTTCCTTCCCTGTGCTGTTCACGGAATGCAGTTGAGTCACTTGAGTGTGCAACTGCTGGAAATTACACCATACAGCTTCGGTCAGTGCTGCAGGATTGGTTTTCAAGTTCTCCGGAGACACAAATAAGTACCGGGGTACTGTGCTGTCCCTCTACTCAGTGCACGGGCCCAAGTTTTCGGATTAGGACCAAACTGTTACCGCTGATGTAGTCACAGCGTGGTTCGCGTCGCCATGAAGTGTGTGGTGAGGTATACGTCATGAACATAGTAATAATAATAATAATATGTTTCATACAACAAAGGTTACATGAATACAAACCAGTTTACAGGTTTGATCACTTTGGTAATGAGAGATGACTATTATGTACAATGTTATGCTATACATTAGATGCTGTGATTTATGGCATATAGGAGGTGTGCTGAAGCAGGCTCAGTTCGAGTTTGAGGATTATCCGGTCATCGTTTGAATCATCCAATATTCTTGAAGGTGAGGCCGCATCACAGTCATGACCTCGAGGTGTGCGTGTTCGTCATAACGTTTTGATGGCAATATTTCCCACTGACGAATGCGATTTGTAGGATTCCATTTGAATGCAGGACTGGTTAGGTAAATCTGAAAAGTGAATAACAAAAGCGGGCAGCAGGCGAAATTCGAAACAGGAGCACAAAAATACGCAGGAGTAGATCAACCATGATACGTCCGGGTGAGTTTGTACTGACTGTTAAGCTTACTTGAGGATTTCAAAGATTTTTACCCGTGCATTCAAATCATGCCACAACGAGGTGAACGTGTTTATGAGAGTTAGGTAGAAAATTCACTATTATTACCTCCCATATAAAATAAAGGTGCTAGATAATGACAAGTGAGATACTAACTCATGCGGCTTATGCGTGCATCCAGCCTTGATAATCGAACTAGACATTTACACATGCTCATTCGTTGAATTATTTCACAAAGGTCTTCGCATAGTAGAGATACAGTTTTGACCCCCATTTCAGGTAATCAGCTAAGAAATGTCTCGTATGAGTGCAGCCTAATTAGTTTGCACAGCATGTGTGAAAGATAAGTTTCAAAATGAGAGCGTGTGCCGAAAATCGTGTCATATAGCTGCCTTAGTGGATCTTTGCCGGGGGTACGCTGGTCACTAAGAGACTGTGATGAAGCGCACTACCTCATACGCACCTTATTAGGTTCCTCAGATTAACCAACCTCAATACGGATTCCCGAAACAATAAGAAGTCTGAATCACTCTGTTCAGAGGACAAAATAATTGTATGTCCTTTGCAGCATTGTTGGAGTGGTCAAAATGTCATTGTATCATTTTTGACAGATTCTGTGGCGGCTGCAAATTAGGCTTCTGTACATTGGGGTTGATACAACCCCAGCTGATATACGTTTTACTCTTAAACGGAGATAGTCTGGCTAGCGACGCTTTACCTTTATGAATCTCGCGAAAGAGCTCTGCCTCTCGGATGAATGGCCGGCGCTCAGGTGGAATCGTACCCACCCAAGTTCGAGGACACTGAAGTGTCATGTCTTAAACGATGATGATGCTGTTAGCCTTCGTATTGATAAGATGAAATGGGGTGTGTCTTTGAAAAGCCATCGCCTTTATGACTTGTCGATAGATAAAAGTAGACAGTTTGAGGATAATGTCTCGTCTATCTCAGATAAGCAGTCTCAATTTTTGGGGTTGAAACACCTTGACGGTCTAAAACCAATGGTTATGGAAAGAAACTCCTCAAACAATCCTGCCAACTGCCTATCTGCTTATTCCTCGGTACTTCTGCCGGAAATCCGGTTACATACCTTGTCACTAGATCCTAAGTTCCGCAGCGGCACATCGGAAGTCAGCAGATTCTATGCTCAGGTGCAGTTTGAAGACCTAATTAGTCAGAGCTTCGATCCTGCTCCGGCATCATCACAGGAGTTTCAGCATTTTAAGCCCACTGTTCTTGACCGTCGTCACCGGTTGACCAGTTCAGAATCCAGTTTAAATCATCTGCTGACGAAGGATCATATAGAACGACTCACGTCGTTCACTTACAGTAATGGCATCATCCTAAGTCATCCTGTTAAGGGAGTGAGTGTTATTCTGACGAACCGTCAGGACCTCGTTGATCAAGTGCTGTCGACTCTCCCTGATCAGGCCAGGTTTAACAAAGCTCGGAGGTGAGAGGAATAAAACACAACAGTAGAGATCCAACTCATGGGCATCCTGAGGGAAATAAGAGACAATGCAATAACTTCCTCCAATTTGTATGAGGGTATCCAACCTGCTGGTTAAGCAGTTCCAGGTCAAGATTACCCCTTGGCCTGATTTCAGATTTTTCTGGTTCTCTTTTCCATTGTGTGACTCAGTAGTTACGTAAACTGTTGAAACCAGCCGGAAAGCAAGTCCCATGTTGTTCCATGCATGACGCGTTGAAGCTTATTAATACCGTCAATGGTGCTGACGCCGCCGGTAAGGTTGTTTTTTGGTTGTTGCCTCATTGTTCATCAGCGTACCATTCACTTAGAATGTTTGTTAAGTAAACGATTTTATAGATTCACATAATATAGAAGTAGGAATTTCAACAAACTACTGGAGAAGGCTATTGATGGGGTGCATTTCCAATGCGCAGCTCAGTTTAACTGGTGAGATATACTGGCAAAACGATGTGACTGCAATGGGATCCCCAATGGGACCTCCAAATAGCAGATTACTTTATATTAAAGTTAAAAGCTTACGACTTCGCCAAACTATCATTCTTTTTGTCATCTATAGACAACATACGGACTATGAATTCCTTAGTTATGGCTTAAATATCAATCTGGACGACATTCTACTGGGGTTCATTAAATGTCAATCGGCGATGAAATTCACTGTAGACAGGAAATTAAATTCGCCTGTTTTTTCCCCGACTTGTTGGCTACGAGGCGTAGAAGTGGAACACTGGAAACACCCACTTACAGAAAACCCAAGTGGAACGGACAGTTTATTAATTTTTAAAGTTGCGTGCCGATCATGGGGAAGAGACACCTAATTCGCCCAATTTTCTGGCGAATACGTAATATTCGTAGAACAGATTGTCCGCTAGTTGAACTCGGGTTTCTGGGAGGGACGCTTGCAGGAAACAGCCTGGCCAATTTCTTGATAAGAATATGGGAGAAGGACATGCGTAACCAGTCATCAGCCTAGTTTTATTTGAGGTTTTGCTCATGAATCTGGAATTTAGGGCGACCTAGCATCACACATTCCCGGAAATCTTCCTCTGAGATCGATTAAAGGGACAAACTTCACTCGATACTTACTAGTCGTGAATTGTTCTTCGTTTGCGTGAGAGACCACGCCCCTAGATAAACCACCTGCATGTGTGTTTATCAGTCCACCAAATCCTCTGGATCAAGGTGCAACAGACGTCATCTGAAACTGCCATCACCGCTCATACGAGAACATGTTCCTGCCTGGTTTTATAAGGGTGGAGGGAAACGCATCAGAGATTTTATCTTTGAGCATCTAATCGATCCCAACCGTTTTCCTGACCCAGACAATGGTCTTTAGTTTATCTCTGGAATTCGTTCAAACATCTATGTACTCAGGAATAAATATTACTACCGTTATTACCTCGCGCTTCCTCTGCCGTCTACTTCTTGAATGATCGGTGGCTTGGCCGGGAATGTACTGAAGTCTTGCCTTTGTGTTCAAAAAAGCATTTATAATATATACATATATATGTATTTCATTGGCCTAACTACAAAACTTACTTCAAGAAGCATCCAGAACCAACTGTTCAGAGGCAAGCTTAGGTGGAAGAATATGAAGGTGCG